AATGGGTTAGAGGAATCTATGGGCCGAGGCCCATTTTCTTCTTTGTCTCCTGTTGCTGGGCGATCAACTGACAAAATGAATGGGCCAAGGTTGTGGCGGCCATTATGGGCCCAAAACAAGGAACGAAAGGGAGGAGGCATTTGGATTTCTGGGCGGCCTCTCTTTTGGTGGAGGGCTAGGGCGAAATTCTTGGGGAAAAAGTGGAGCTGGCAACGGAAATTGCTTTGGGGGAATTAAAAAAAGAAAAACAAAGGAGTTTTTTTGGATCGCGGGGGGAGCAGGAAAATATAGTTTGGGCCGAACAGAAGGATTGGGCTGGGCGGATTTCTTTGGCGAAAAAGGAAAAGGAAAAAGAGAGTCTCGGGGAGCAGGGAATAAAGGGGGTCGCGAGCAGAATTCTTGGGCAGGAGAAAGAAAGCGCAAGGCAGTAGAGCAAAAGGCGATCAGTCGATTTCCATCGGCGATTGAGATTTCCAAGGCTACCTGAGCTGAGTTCAACGAGAGCGATTAGTTGGTTGGATTTTCTAAACCTAATTAGTTGTTTCTTGTTGTTTTAGAACATGATGAACAAAACCCTATCGACTTATCTTAATTTCGTCATGAACTAAACCCCAATTTCTGGGGGAAACACCATAGGATGTAGCTATTTCTTGATTTGATGGATTGATTTATGATTCTTTTCTTCCAATCTCTATTGCATGAAATTTCTTAATGCTTTGTGTTGACTGGCCACCAATACAATGAATCGTAGTTGATTAGGTTATTAGCGACAGTGAAACCCTATTAACTGAACCTATTTCATGTGACATAGTAACTTATCGAAGCGACAGTGGATTAAATAAGGTGCTATGCGGTCTTAAATAGGATATCGATCTTCAGGCTATATAGTTAATTCATTGAGCTACGACAGTAGGATTTGAATTAATTATCTTGTACGTAGTAATTCCCAACAGGGATAGCTAGCACATTCGTGATATCCTGGCTGTAGAGGTATGGATTAAATTGATTGGAATATGTGAATTAATCTGGATAGGATAGGTAGTGAATTCCGGTGATTCTCCCAGAGCTTTCTCCCATTGAATTAAACCCGACAGTTTTCACTTGCTTAATTTGTTTAGTTTATTTTGCTTTTAGATAATTAGTCTCATTAAATCATTTTCACCTGTAGGTTGCTCTATAGAATCAATAAATCATTAGGTTGTACCAGTCCCTGAGAGACGATACCCGGACTTTCCGGTTTACTACGAGATAGGAAATTGGCATATACGCTTTTGCCCTATCACTTCATCTTCAGATTCTTCCCCGAGGATCTTCATCTTCAGATTCTTCCCCGAGGATCTTCATCCAGTTTGATCTCCCTGGCGAGTCGAGCCGAGAACTACAATGTGGGCCAGAGATCATCAAATCAAGATTTTTCCATGGCTTCCCCATCTTGTGTTTTCGTGGCTAGAGCTCATGTTTGTCTTTCTGATTCGGAGTCGAAGTCTATTGGAACACTAGTATTGGGCTAAAGGCCTCCGACAACCAAGCACCCAATATAATGAAAGTCGAATAACTAAGTACGGGCGATGCCCTTCACGGCGAAGAAGTCCCACCGGACACATGAAATCAACACTCATTTTGGACAAAGATATCTCCTATAAAGGCCACATGTCATCCACAAACACACTAGATCGCATTGGGATGATAATATACACATATAGGAACGCATTGGATGGATCTAACACCTCAGTGTAACAACTAACCATCATAGACAGTGGGAGAACCATGAGGTTAGCATTTAATCACCCGAGCGGCCAGCGAGTGAGTCGTTAGTGGCCAATGGCATCCTAGCTGATGGCATTCATCTCTATGAATAACACTCAAGGAACCCGGGATCAAGATCTACTGTCTACTTTGTGACTACCTGTTATCTAGCGGGACTAAGTGTAGTGAGAGTGATTGCAAACAAAAGCAGTAAGAAAGCATGAAATAGTTCGAAGTTCTTAAGAAAATAAAGAGTCACTCGGGAATGAGTCCCCCTAGCTCCTTAGTTAGGTCAAAGTTGTAATTCCCTTTGGTAAATTCACTGTTGATTAAACCACGAAAGATCCTAAATTAGCTTGGAATCTCTTAAGCTGACCAAGCCCTCTTAGACAGAATACCCGGCAGGCGACTAGCCTTCATCGGAATAGATTGCTAAGGCGATTCAGACAGATCTCCACTACTATAATGAATTCCAGTACAAAGCAGTTAATTGACTAACTCTCGTATGATCAGTTCACTACTACAGATTGAAGAAGATCTAACAACCTAATCAGATTCTATCTATCTCAGGTTGCAGCATCAGGCTTCAATTGACTCAATCAAGACACTTCAATCGATTATAATCAAGCAGTATACAATCCAAACGTCATTACAATCAATATCCCTAACACATGGAACTAGGGTTCTTCATACCCAAGTGAGAGAGAGTTCTACTCCATAGAGAGAGAGGAAAACATAATACAAAGCAGTCATTCTCATAATGATGAGAAGAATCTGCTTTGGGATGGTAATCTTCGCTCCAGGGATGAAATCCAAGCTTGATTGATGAAACCCAGCTCCAAAGTCACCTCTAGGGTTTGTTCTTCGCACTTTCTCTCTTTAGGACTCTGTTTTTGCTCTAGAAAATAGTATCCCCTTCCTTTGGCTCGAATCTTCCCCTTTCAACTCGATTCTGGGCAAAATACGGGCATATATATGGCTGTAATTCTTCCATGCCCGTATATTGCCTAAAATGCGCGTTTTGGTTAAGTCTCAGCGCATTCAAGGCTCCTCTCGGCAGTGAAATTACAGGCTAGACACTAAGAAATACGATCGTATTTTTGGGAATACTGACTGTATTTTGTACCTGAGCCATCACAAGGCTCGACAAAAAAAAATATTGGCAGTAACTTGTGAATTACGGCCATAATTTTGTGAATACATGGGGTATTTTGTGAATTATGACCGTATTTGTAGGGAGTCTTTCGTATTTTGTGAATTATGAGAGGCTTTTGAGTGACCAAACGACCTCCGATTGACCCGAAACTTGCACCAATGCCTCCCTTTATTCACTTAGACCTGAAATATGACAAAAAAACACAACCTATCGTCAAATAGGCCAAGACGCCACAAATTTGAGCAAAAATGGTTAAGAAACAAGGGTGCAAACATGTACAAATACGACGCTATCAAATTCCCCCACACTTAACCGTTTGCTTGTCCCCAAGCAAACCAAGTCAGATACAAGGTAAGCTCAAAACATTTCAACCATGCAACCCTTGGGACATATCATATAGGCACGAAACACGAGAATCATACTGGCTTTTAGACATCAACACATGGACAACTTCAACAGCAACCTGGACAACCACCATAGAGGACATTCGAGTGCAACAAAATCGGATAGAGGAAGAGTCTCCCTTCTTTTCACCAACCAACATAGACTTGACTCAACCACTTATTCAAGATAGTCACCTCATGCATAAAACTCAAGACATCAGAATCAAGACGGAGCAATATAGGTCCTCACTGGGGTATATAATATGAAAATTGAATCACTCACTCTCGACCAGTGGGGTCGGGACAAACTTTGATGCAAGATGTGCATACTCGTAATCTCAATCCCTAACGTCTCTTCACCATGACGGCAGCCTCTAAATGTTAGAGTTCACATATCGGGTGTCACCACTAACTAATCTGGAGGTCTTAGACACAGATTCAAATGGCTGGCTAGGGTCTTGGACATGGGGAAAAGGCATTTTAAGTGGTGGAAGAATTCAATACACAAGGTTTCACAGTTCCAAACCTAACACAGTTACAGTCATTCAAACCACTTACTTTCTTTCTTCCATTCTGCATTGATCAAATTCTTTAGAGTATAAGAGTGAAGGAGGTCACAGTAATGTTAGTATTTCTAAGCCAGACTGCTAAGAAACACTATCTAATGAGCATGATTCAGATTTTTTGTAGTGGTTCTCTTTTGTTTTCATTCATTTTTTTTTTCTTTATTTGTTTTTTCATTTGTTGAGAGAACCACCACCTCTGACATTTTTCAAACACATGCCCAACTTTTAAGAACTACCTCCAACTCTCACATTATTTCTAGCAGAAACAGCAGAGAACATGCAAAAAACCACTCAGTGGAACCTCTACGAGATGCAAAAGGGTGATTTTCCATTGTAGACTGAAAGAAAGGAAATTACATGACTCAAATGGCTGACTGGGGGTATGACACTGGGACAGTCAATTTGGTCGTTGGTTAATCCTATGCCTCCATCATCTTAGCTAATGGCAACGTGAATGCTACACATCATGGAAGAGGGATCTATCGCACAAGAAAGAAACGAGCAAGCTCAAATCTCACATGGCTACCTATATGCTCTATCTCTCATTCTGATTCCCTGAACTGGATGCATAAACGACTTTCAAAAACAAGTGATCAATCCAAGTCACAGTTAGTAAGCAAACAGTTGAAAAACTGAACCCCTATACAACTCTACTGCACGTCTAGTCATCATTATAGGTTGTCACAATCCAGTTGTCATGCATCAATTCTAACAGCCACTCGATTCACCAATTAAACCACAGTGCCAATGTGATCATGCAAACATCAGCACTTGGAGCCCTCAAATCTCGAGATTTGGACAGCGGACTAGGCTCCAAGACAAGAAAAACACTATTCGTCACACACATGCATAATGGTACATCCCCCCACACTTAAGCACGACATTGTCCTCAATGGAGGAAAAATAAGAAGGGTACGTAGAACGAAATTACCAAATTGGGTGTGAAAGATGGTGGACGAGGCAGGTAGTGCATTCCAGGAGGAGAGAGTAGTAGGAGCACAAACACCACAAAAATCTCACAAAGGTGGAGTTATTGACTCTAAAATCATAGCACAAAACTGACTTGGCCAAAAAAAATAGGGAAAGAAATGCAAACCGACTGGTTGGGTTGCCTCCCAACAAGCGCTTCTTTTCCGTCGTTAGCTGGACGGTGGCCCCTAAGCTTCATTCCACCCCAGAACCTCCTTGAAGTTGAGGTTCTCGTCGATGATGCAGAGTCTCAAGTCACGAGCAGGTGGTGTGATAGGTGATGAAGATGGCTCGTGCCCTTGAGGGAGATGAAGTAGATGAAGTGTTCACACTCGAGACCTCTCCTTCGCGGCTTCTCTTGTCTCATTGACCCAAACCAGATAAGATACCATCGATTGACCACCATCGCATTCACCAAGAGGGATCGATGTTGATGTGCTCTTGGTCTGGCAAAGAGCACTGCAAATGGGTCCTTGCCAAGCATCTCCTCGAAATTTGGTGGAGATAGCACATGTAACATAGGGCCGGTGCAAGCCTCTTCCACCTCAACTTCATCCTCAGTCTGGACGCCAATTGCTTCCTCAACCCCCCCCCCCCCCCCCCCCTCCTTCTTCAAAATTTGGTATCTCCCCTTGGAAAATATCAAGAACTCTTCTTTGCTTTCTTCCTCATCCTCCACGACCTCCTTCCTCACCCTTGCTCTCTCTTCTTCTTCCAAAACAGATTGGAGAGCAAGTCGGCAAGCAATTTCTTCAATGGGATCATCTTGAATCTCCTCGCACGGGCCCAACATGTTAGAGCATAAATGAGGAAAGGTGTGATCTGCCACCAGAGGACTTTCCTAATCATGATTGTCACATGAGTTGTCTGTGATAACTTTTGTATGCTCCTCAATGTCCTCGAAGCCTTTGTCATTCTCCACCTTTTCTAGTGTGGTAGCAGAAAGGTGATCTTGAACAGGCTGTGCACGAACTTGCTCCACCCACTCTGTTTGCTTCACTGAGCACTGAACAACCTCCTCCATTTCATGGAGAAATGAGGGATCAGAAGGGGCAAGAGCTTGGATTTAGAGATCCATCTTGGAGCATGATCTCTCAGTGTCTCGAGTAAATTGCTCCACAAGAAGCCTCAATTGTTTGTTCGGATCTGCTAGTGGAGTGTAGCATGGCTCTGCAGAGTGGCCCGTGAAGGTCGCCATGGCTAACTCCAACTCAGATGGCCCCTCTGGTTGTGGGAGGAATTCTTCTTGAAAAGGAGATCGTTCTTGAGGTTCCCAAGGGTTTGGTTGTTCTACGTAGTAGGGAGTTGGTACTGAAACCCGAATCCATAGTCTTCTCCTCCTTGATTGCTCCAGGAAGTCTCGGGGTAATACTACCGGGATGGTGGTTGATCACCCCAATGGTTGTAGAAGCCATGAGCATCCGTGTTTCAGATATGCACCAACCAAAACAAAACACCCAAGTGAAAAGCAAGGGCGGAAAAGAAAAGAAAAATGCTAACTTTCACGTTTCTACAATAACCTAGAAGTCCCCGGCAACGGTGCCAAATACTTGACACGCTAAAACACAACACTAAACTACGACCAAGTGCAATCGCAGAATAGAAATGCCTAATAGTGGCAAGTTCAATTTATCAACCCGGGGTCTAGATCTACTGCCTACTTCGTGACTACCTGTTATCTAGTGGGACTAAGTGTAGTGAGAGTGATTGCAAACAAAAGCAGTAAGAAAGCAGGAAATGGTTCGAAGTTCTTAAGCAAGGGAAGAGTCACTCGGGAATGAGTTCCCCTAGCTCCTTAGTTAGTTCAAAGTTGTAATTCCCTTTGGTTGATTGTTGATTAAATTGCGGAAGATCCTAAATTAGCTTGGAATCTCTTAAGCTGACCAAGCTCTCTTAGACAGAATACCCGGCAGGCGACTAGCCTTCACCAGAATAGATTGCTAAGGCGATTCACACAGATCTCCACTACTAGAATGAATTCCAGTACAAAGCAGTTAATTGACTAACTCTCGTATGATCAATCCACTACTACCGATTGAAGAAGCTCTAACAACCTAATCAGATTCTATCTATCTCAGGTTGCAGCAGAAATCAAGAAAAGTTGATCATGCTTCATTTGACTCAATCAAGACACTTCAATTGATTATAATCAAGCGGTATATCAATCCAAACGTCATTACAATCAATATCCCTAACACATGGAATTAGGGTTCTTCATACCCAAGTGAGAGAGAGTTCTACTCCATAGAGAGAGAGGAAAACATAATACAAAGCAGTCATACTCATAATGATGAGAAGAATCTGCTTTGGGATGATAATCTTTGCTCCAGGGACAAAGCTTGATTGATGAAACCCAACTCCAAAGTCACCTCAAGGGTTTGTTCTTCGCACTTTCTCTCTCTAGGACTCTGTTTTTGCTCTGGAAAATGGTATCCCCTTCCTTTGGCTCGAATCTTCCCCTTTCAACTCGATTCTGGGCGAAATACGGGCAGAAATACGGTCGTAATTCTTCCCTACCCGTATTTTGCCTAAAATGCGCGTTTTGGTTAAGTCTTAGCGCATTCAATGCTCCTCTCGGCAGTGAAATTACGGGCTAGACACTGAGAAATACGGCCGTATTTTTAGGAATACTAACCGTATTTTGTACCTCAGCCATCACAAGGCTCGGCATAAAAAATATTGGCCGTAATTTTGTGAATACTGGCGGTATTTTGTATATTACGACCGTATTTGTAGGGAGTCTGCCCGTATTTCTTTCTCAACTTCACTTTTGAGAGGCTTTTTAGTGACCAAACAACTTCCGATTGACCCGAAACTTGCGCATATGCCTTCCTTTATTTGCTAGGACCTGAAATATGACAAAATAATATAACCTAGCGTAAAATACGACGCTATCAATGCAACTCATCAATGCCTCGGACACGAATTTTTGTAAGGAATTCCCTGCACGTTCGGAGGCCAATCCCAAACGTTCTACATCATTCCCAAAGGGGATCATTGAGATGTTTGAGTAGTTTGCCATGCTATTCTCCTCCAAGTTTGTCTCGCAAAGCCACCGCAAACTAACAGTGACAGCCCTTACCAATTGTCAGCAGGGTAAGAAAGAGTCATTATCTAAGTTCTACGACAAGTGAAATGCAATAGCATGCGAGATACAGAAATCTCGCTCGCGGTCGCATTCATAAACTTGAAGATTTCAACTTGCATCGGAAAATTGAGGCGTTCCCTTATAAAGAAAGAGCGTAAATTACATTCTTACCCCAATCTCAACAAATTAGTAAGATGGGCGCCATCCTGCTGAAGAAGCTTTAGCTCGGGAACAAGTTGAGAAGGCATACGATGGAAAAGGGAAGGAGAGGCATGAACCATCTCAGGAAAAAAGGCGATCACTAGGGACACGGCAACACAAAGTTAGTGATACAGAGGTCTGAAGGGAAGTCTAAACCAGTACTGGAGAACAAAAAAACATACCACACAGCGAGGAGAAGTAATGAGTATCGTCCCATTAGTCAAGGTTGACGAAGTCAATGTAATTACTATTACAGACAAAGACCATAATATCCTCGGACGTGAGGGGAAAATATCCTACTGCCTCAGCATTCAAAGCTAGGGGAAGTTGAAATTAACTTTCAAACCTGTAGTGCTTGCCACAGAGGACTCCGCAAAAGACCCCTTAATGATATCATTCTAAACTGAAATGTTCAAGATAATGCGTGTCCTCGTGGACAACAACAACTCAGCATACATACTGTTCTATTTTGCCTTCAAAGACATGAAGAAAAATGCGACGTATCTTTGCCATTCCACACCACCACCATGTGGGATTCTCAGTAGCAAAAATCCAAGTGGTATGAACTATATTGTTAAACGTAACAGTAGGCAACACTTGAGTAACAAAGACAAAGCTCATGGAATTCCACATGCCAGATTGCCGCTTGATGATGCTTTAGTATGCACCAAACTAACAATCCTAGGTATGTCTAGGGTCTTATTCCACGAGTCTTTCGATGGTATCTACTTCGAAATCACACTTTTATTTGAGATGGTAATGCAATGAAAATTAAACTCGATGGGTTGAGGTTCCCTACTATTGATCAATGCCCTATCTATATAAACAAAGCAAAATAAGAATAGCAAGTAAAGTAACTAATGGTTAAGGAAAATGATTAAAGTATTGTCTAGATAGTTTTATCTAGATGATCATGCATTCTAACTCACCACTGATATGCATCCAAGAATCTCTTCTATTTTGATGCCTATTCACTCCACTAAAGCATTTATAACCGAGTTTTCACCACATGCGAGAGGAAGTAAGGGTAGCATGGTGCTATTTAGGGTCTCTATGAACCATAGCAATGTTTCTAAGCTTTGATGGTCTAATGCATCAAACATTTATCTCATACATACATGAAGTGTTGTGCATCCCATTCATGCAAGCATAAGATAAAAGCATAGAATATAGGAAGAGTTTCCTAGGCAACATATTGATATGATCCCAAATGGTCCATTACACATGTTTAATTTACTTGACGAAGAAGCTAACGAAGTTGGGAAGAAGAAGGGCAGAATTTGGCTAAGTCAAAATCCGTGTTCAGGGTACATACTTTGGAGACATGTTTCTCCCAATTGGCTTGGTGGCAATTCAAGTTTAAGGGGTTTTTTTTGCAGATAAAGTTGCTATCTTTCCAATGGTATGCTTTGCGGATCAAAATGATGTCATTAAGGTTGTTTTCCAAGGCCTCAAATTTGCTACCTCGAAACTGGAAAACTGCCAGAAAATGGCTAAGGCAGAAAACTATTTTGTGAAGCCTACTTTGGAGCTCAATTCAAGGAGCATGGATGGGATTAAAGTCAAAAGGCTTCTACAAAATGAAATTATGAATGTTTATCTACCAAGGGAAGGAATTTGATGAAAGATTGGAGTTCTGGAAGGCCTCGAACGAAAGGTGCGAAGTTAGTACGAAAGCTGTTTTGGACTGTTTGCTGGCAGCTTACTTGTACTCCAATAAAGGAAGTCTAAACACGAATTTTGAGTCCTTTTTAGAGTTTGCTTTTACCTTAATTATTTACTAGTTCTATTAGGTTTGTATTAGGTTTTTATTATCTTTAAATACCTTTCAATTTCACGTTGTAAAAATCCAAGTTTTAGTTGAATGAAAATTGCTCCTTTGTGAGAATTGTGTTCTTTGAGAGTTCTCAAGAATCAAACCCTTGAGTTAGTTGTGTGAGGAATTCCATTGCTAATTCGAGAACCCTTGTCAATCTTTTCTGTGAGGATTCTAGAATCGGTTTACGAGTTTTCTTATCAATCAAGTAAACACCTTGATTGTGGCGAAATTCTACCTTTTCCATCATTACCGTTCGAGAGTGTGTTGGCTACGTTACTTTGATCAAAAGCACCCCTGGGTGATTATCACATATGATCGTAGTATAATCAAAGCAAAAATAGCATATAAAAGAAGATAAAAGCATTGGATAACCAATGCATCTCATTAAATCATTGAAAGTGATGCATAAAACATCATTGAATTCACATCCACGGACAATAAGAGACTTAGCTGGCCATAGAAGAGAGAGATGGCTCCATCGATGATGAAGGCATCTCCCCTTGACTTGATGAAGGCATATCCAACTCGCTAGCTCTAGTAAAATCTTGACGGAGTCATTTTGTAGAATGTGTTTGGGGCTTGTCAAGCCTACTTTAAACTCTAACCTAGGCCTCTATTTATAGTACATGGAAGATGGGTTTTTAGAATTTTCTCTCCTAAGATTCGGCTCCAAGCATCCTTGTACGACTTAAACTTGGATTCTCTTACTTGAGGACGAAGTAAGAAGCTTTCACAAGTTTCTAATGGGCTTGGGCCAGCGGCGGTCAGAACCGCCTCGGGTTTTCTTCATCCATTGTGTTGCTTGTACCACAATTAACCTCTT